GCATAACCTGACAGCCTGAACTATTTTCTACCTTGCAGAAAAGCCACGGTGTCTCAATTTCCAGAGGTGGTAACAATAGTCTTCTTTGCACAATATCCCTTCCCAACTAAAACCTACACTATTTGTTTTGTTTTCATAATTTGCAACATCTGGAATTTACAATGCCCATAAAAACATGTGCTCTTCTTTCACTGGTGCATCACAGACTACAGAGAAGCAGCTCCTGCCCCAAGGAACATCTATTCTATATCACACACAGAGCGCAGCCTGAAGTTTTTGACAGCGCAGGAACGTAGTGCCTCTCTGATGCAATGGCAAAGCAAAGCACTGACAAGGTAAACTAACACAGGCTCCTCAGCTTAAGATGAATAAGAATCCCCTGTCTGAGATTCTCTGAGGAACTCGGAGATGAATTTGTCATGGAGGCGGCACTGACAGCTGTGCTTGCACAGCAGGGCTTCATGTCCTCACTGCTCTTCCACTTGCAGCACTAAGCTGAACATACTTTCATGGGCAGTGATCAGCTTGTTCATTGGTTATTCAGTTGCTCATTTTTTAAGGCAGCTCCCAAGTACAATACATCTTTCCATTACTATAGTCTTGAAGTCCACACGCTGTCCTCCTTTGAGGAGTCCCTCAAGGCTGATCAACAAAAGACCAGATGCAATGACACAGATCACAATGGCAATACTATTTAGAAATTGGAGTCACAACTGGTATGAGACAAAATATGCTTACTAACATTTGTACATATTACCGCTTTTCTTCCTTTGGATGTGCTATCATCCTGAACACAGAAATTATCAAAATTATTGTGAACAAACACTCAAGCTTGCCACCAGAACCCCTTAGCTGTGTTACAAGTACAATTCTGAACCACCAAAGCTTAACTTCAGACAGTATGTCTAGACTGACAAGCTCCCATGTAATACCATTGTGTTTTCTGGCAGCGCTTTGTTCTCCAAAGAGTTCCTCTAAGCACTTTGTGAAACTATGAAGTCCTTACAGCATTTCATCTACTCCAGATCTTATCCCATACTACCCTTGAGACACAACATAGCTATCAACCTTTACAGCCAGCCTGAAATATCAGGAAGTTAGATGGGATAAATACACCATCACACAAATACATTTCATCTAGCAATAAACTTCCAGTTTTGTAATTTTCAGGAAAGCTCTACATAGGACAATGACATCAAGATAGTTTGTCTTTTTTAACTTCTCCCATTCATTTTAACTTTCTATTTGAAACAATCCTATTTCCTTGCCACTTTCCTCTTCTACTGCTCCGGAGGCAGACTGCTGGCCAAATCCCTCTAGTTGTACTTTTTATTTCCCCAAGAAAGGCAGCAGATAGTGATGAGGGTAGTTAATCAAAAAAAGAAAACTAGCAATAGTCATTTCTGCAGCAAAACAGAAGCAGGAGGTAACTAGTTTTGAATGTAATCTCAGCTCTTCTGGTAGGTCCTTCCCCAATGTCTCTTCATGTTTTGGATAGAAGTTTTTGCATAAAATCAGGAAATCTTACACTACCTTGAAGTTGGCATCCTGGTAAGCTTTTCTTCATTTTTGAAGAGTAGAAACAGAATCTATTAGGGCTAACAGGATGAAAGATACTGTTTCTTAAATAGTCCACCCATAATTTCACATCTATTGAACACAAAGTTTTTAAATGCCCCACTAAAGAAAATTGTGGGTTTCCAATATGTATGGAAGTCTCTAAAGCAGGAAGAAAAGTTACGCAGTGAATGCGATAGGAGAAAAATAGAGACAACAATCCTATTCTAGCAGGACCTCATTTGGAAGGCCACAAACTACCACTCCATCTCAAAAATACCAGAAGACCACCAGACATTCCACTTTGTCTGTTCACCTTAGCAGAACGAAACTGAACAAAAGGAAAGAGAAAGTATTCAGAACAATCCTTTTCTTATAAACACAAGAGTAAGGAGATATTCAAGAAAAGGTGGGAAATTAAAAAGGCAACAAAAGGCAAAGCATTCCCATAATATGCAGAAGCATGACAAAGTAGAGAAAAATCACTGTAGTTATCTATTAATATTTGATATAAGGTTCAAATGTACCATTCACAACAAATACGTGATACGAAGCAACAAAAATCTCCCTTAATTGCACTACCTGTAAAGGCATAATGAGATTTGTAGCATGAGACATGACTACTGACTTCTAGTAGAAATCCATCCAAATAACTTTATATCTATTGTAGGGTATCCCAAATCTGCTCACTGCAGGGTTAACTGGTCATTATAGAATTCTATTTCTGTAATACCAACATTTTCCAACAGCAAAAGGGAATCCAGAACAAGAAATTACAGCACAGTCACAGAACCAGGATAGCACAAACACCGACTAAACATGGTGCATCAACAGCAACAAAATACCACGTATTCTATAACACAGCCAATGCACTAACATTAACTCAACTTCTATGTTTACCATCCGTAATGCTTTTTTTGTCTGTACTGTACAGTGACCAGTCAGGTCTTGCCAAACAAAAGGAATCTAGATGTTTACTTCACAATTAAAACCTGACCATTCACAAATACCATCCAAAAACTCTACAACTGGGGTACATTCAAAGGTCATGTCAAGTACTGGGCTGACAGCACTTCCTAATGTGGAAAAAAACCCTCATGCACAGAGCTGACCAAGCTGTGCCACAACAGGAGTGCAGTATTTTGGCAACAGATGTTTTACTTACACCTCTACTAAAGATAACCCGTTAACACAACGTCGCCTTTCACGCAGTGCTTCACAATCACACGCTCGGGAAATATCGCAGATGTTTTATTAACGACAGCTTAAAGCACTGACTGGGGGGGGGGGCTTCAAGAAGGTGAAGAGTCCCGACACCGCAAGGAGACCGACAGGAGCCACCCTTTTTCCACCTCACGACCAGGACAGCCGCGCCCCGCACCGGCCTGGGCCCCTCCGCCCCCTCAGGAGACCCCGCTGAGCCGCGGCCCGGCCCGGCCCG